CTGCTATCTCTGTAACTTTCTAATGAGATCTCATAAATATTCCAAAAGACACTTTTATCTGCAGGCATTATTTTACATTTTCTTTTCCTCCTTCCTGCACTTTCAGCCAGTTTCTAAAGCTGCTTTCATCCATCATCAAAATACAAAATTCAAATACCATTATCATGTCGTTAAATCCAGTCCAAATAAAATCTTGTCTGAAAGTTATACAGGACCCACAGCATCACAAAATAAAACAAATGAATCAAAGTTTTACTGCTAACCAGAAAACCTGTAACAAATTTCCAAAGCAAAATCTATATAAACAACATTTGTTTTAAAGTTTGTTAAAAACAGGAACGCTGACTGGACAGCAGTGTTTGTCATACAGCCACAAAAAGCAGTGAGTGCTCCCGTGCACAACCAGACGGCTTTGTGTGACCGTCCCAGAAGCGCTCCTACCATCGCTACTAAATTATTTCCTGGTGTTTTCTCTCAGATTTGGAAACAGTGCGCGCCGCTAAAACCAAAGCCGGTATTTGTCCACTTCTGACAGGGGCAGCGGAAGGGAGAAGAGGGGCGGCAACAACAGCAACAGGCACCACCGCCCCGAGCGGCAGCGCACCGCCTCCCGCCCCTTCCCATCAGAACGGCTCCTTCTCTCCCCCAGCTCTCTGCGACCAAAGTCGCACCGACCCCAACAGCGCCAGGCAGCGAGCGGGGCACAGGACGAGCCCGGAGCCACCCCAAGGACCGAGCGCTCCCGGCCCGCGCTCCCAAGAACGCGGCGCCTCCCCACGAACTGCTGCGGCCCGAGTCCCGCTGAGGGACCCGGACCTTCCCCCGCCTCGCAACGCGCCGCTCGGCTCCGGCCCTCCGAGGCGCAGCCCCCGAGCCGGCCCTCCGCGGGCCCAGGCCACCCAAGCGCACGGCTCCGCTCGCCACAGGCCCGGTGCCTCCCCGCCGTCCGCAGCGATCGGCAAGAGACCGAGCCGCCGAGGCGAGGCGAGGGCCGCGGCAGCCCCCGTACCCCGGAAAAGGAGAGGCTTCGCTGGCGCCATCTTACCGAGCGCGCTACGATACCGGCTTCAACGCACGAACGCGGACTCCACCGCCGCCTCTGCCAGGCCTCTGGCGCGCGGATCTCGCGAGAACTGCTCTCTCAGCCAATCGGCGCCCGGAGAGAAGCGAGAAAACGCAACCATAGAGATGGGCCGCGGGACAGAGTGTACACCACGTATGTACACACACACACACATCCAGTGGGGCGCTGGTACCATAGAGAAGACCTGAGGCGCCTCAGTACCGCTAGATTGAAACTGGTCCCGCCGGGAGTACCATAGAGTTAGAGCGGTCGAGGGCAGGCCGCAAGATGGCCACCCTGCCACCAGGGCGAGCGGCGCTGGAGGCAGCGAGGCTGCATGAAGTGGGGCTGGGGAGCAGTTCTCATCTGTTCCTTATCTCCCTTCTTTGGGTCTCACCTGTCAGGCAGGGCCTTTGCTGACTCCATCATGCCGCCTGTCCCAGCTGCAGGGCCCGCTGTCTCCTGTTCCTCCTTGGTATTTTAGTGCTTCAGGCAACAGTGCCAGCCTACTCTGGGACAGCCAACTTGCAGACTGCAGACCTTCTTCAATTGCCACGCTGGACTCCTAAATGTAATGGCTGAGGACTCGGATCTACAATCTGTAAAAAATCTATATTAGCTCCAGAGAATTAATAAACTTGCTGCAACTAGATCCAATAAGGTTTATGAATCAAGGCACAAAGACAATTAAACAGTTGTATTTGTGTATTTAAATAAGAGAGCAGGGCTTAAGAGATACATTCGCATATGAAATATGGCAAATGATAGTAATAGGGAACATATAATTTCTCTTATACTGAGAGGGAATATGGATACAATTACTCATTTTTCACTCCTGTTTTTTTTTTCTTTTTTTTTTTTTTCTTTTTTTGGTAATTGCACCACAAGATGCAGTTTCCAATTTTTTTTTCCCATTACAATTATTCCTACATTGAAATTGATACTCTCTATAGTTGTGTTTTTTTGTTTTTTTGTTTTTTTTTAAATTCCCAAAAAATCTCTCATCATTTATAAACAATAGAAAGCTTTGGATAGAGAACTTCAAATATAAACTAATATACACCATTAGTTGTTATCTACAGGACAGAAAGCTATAGCACAGCAAGTATTCATCCTGTTTGGAAAGAGCTTTTCACCAGTTTAAATCAAAGCAATCAGTCAAACACAAAAAAGAAACAAATCAAAACAACACCCAACCCTCTCAACAAATTTGATACTTGGGGAAAGACAAAACGTTCCAATTCTATTTCTTATACATCTGAATCAGCCACCTTGTGAACTTTTCCTTTAGATTCTTGCTCCTGGTTCTTGTCAGCTCCTCCCCCAAAAGGTGGAGTTTCTCAGGAGACTTCCATAAAGACAGAAGGAGTAGGAGAGTGCCCCTCTTCTGAAGGGTTTCCTGAGCTCAGTATTGAGGGAAGCACACCCTGGGTAAAGAGGAGACACGTGAGAGCTGCTGTAGCTGCTGTTTACAGGTGAAAAGCAAAGATTAGCTCGTAATTGCTTTTTAAACAGTAGAATAATATACTGAGTAAGTAAACCGAAAATGCATGAGGTGCTAGTTGGCAGCGTGCTAGACGGTGCAGTGATGGCACTGTTTTTTTCACAGATTGGGATATTCAGCTAACTGCAACAGTTTGTCCCTTTTTTTGTCTCTAAGCTGAAGAAATGCAAAAAATGAGCCAGTAACTATTCCTGTTTTGTAGCCTTGATTTTGTTAAAAAAAAAAAGAAATACTGCTGGCTTTCTTTCTCCCCAGACATTTTCAGGAGTAGGCCTTTTTAAAGACTTTTATGTTAACAAAAATAAATTTGTAACCTATTTTCAGGGCACTGTGATTTGCTATGTTCTTTCTTTCCTTACCAATGCTTTCCCCAGCATTTTGACGGTAATATCAAACGCTAACTTGACACCTGGAGTATCTGTACTGGCTGATGTGCTGGACTCTGGGGACACAGGCCTTTTTCTGTAAACCAAAAAAGGTAAAGCTGGAGCACAGCCAACAAAAACTAGTCTCTGCTGACTTGAAGTGATCAATATTCATGTTAAAAAGCAATGGAGTAGGGATGAGAACTTGCTCATTAGCTTTCATTCTTACCCTTTTACTGGGCTAACTCTGTCTCTAGTTTTTACCTGTTGTTGTTATCTTGTTCTTAACAAATAAATAAAAATACAGTTAGAGAAACCCCAGGGATAGTCAAGCACATATGTATTAGCTGCAGAAGAAAATCTCAATGTATTCACAGCCTAATGGTAGACAAAATCTGGGAAAGCAGTGGAAAAAGGTTTTAAGGAGAGTAGCGCTGAGGGCTTGGTAAATATCCTAGCATAAGCTTTTCCTGTACTTAACGATAGATGGATAAGGTGCTTATTAAACTGTTTGAGAAGCAAATTGATATGCATTAATCTTTTTGCTAGGATTGCTCGGCAGATTTGTGAGGTTTGTTTTTTTTTTTTTTTCAGCTCAAATTATAATTACCTTTCTGTTAGAAGCTACAGTTGCATTATGCAAGAGAAGACATAAACCAGCCAGGAGTAACTTCCCTTAATGAAGGGAAATCAGGCTTTAAAAGTGGAAAACAGTGGGGAAGGAAGGGATAGGAATCAAATGAAGCAGAGAAAAAGCTGAAGTGCTGAATGTAGTGGTCAAGTGAAGGTGACATAGGTGTTTGTTAGCAAGGATAGATAATGGACTTGGTGAGAAGGCAGTCTTTAACACAACAATGTAGGGGTTTTGTGGGATGAAAGCATTATGTGCTTTAGTTGGTATTCGCTGGGTGTGCAGACTGAGTTAATTATCACATCAAGATGATACAAGCCTCTTACCAAATGTGTGTAAGAGCAGATTAATACTTCTTTCACTGCTGGGTCCCTGTTCACTACTGATGTGCACCTCCCTGTTTTGCACATTCCCTTTTCCTTGGTATAGATTCCTCATTATGAGCATCACTGGATGCTAGAGTTGACCATTAATGATATCATTAGCTTTTTTCAGGCACGAATCACAGAGGGGCTTGATCTACTACATCAAAAGGTATTTATTTCCATTCCATGTGCCTTTGTTTTATTATAGCTCTGTAGATGCAGAACAAAAACTACTGCTTGTCTTGTACTTTCATACAGGAACCTGCTTCTCACATCTTGGTGTTCCTGCGTGGAGTAAGTATTAATACAGTCCTGTTTTACAGGTGGAGAGGTTTCCTGTGTTGTTAGGAAAAAAAAAAAAGCTAATGGAAAATTTAATGTCACCATCCTTAGCTTTTATTCCCATGAGTCTCATACTGTGCTCTTGAATGTAGATTTCTATAAAATGTAATTGCTTGTAAAAGTTTGGCTCCTGGTGTTTCTTAGGAGCCTAGACATTTTGAAAGGGTGTTTTTTGGGATAGAAGGGTGTTTACTGAGCAGTCTTTGTGCATGAAGTCAGTTAATGCAGTGAGCCCTTCCACAGCATCCAGATCCACAGGCAGGCAGTAATGCAGCAGCTGCTACTTGATTTTTCCGAATCAGGTGGAATTAAGGTGAAAAATGGAATAAGCAGAGGTGTGGAGCACAGCTGATGAAGCAGTTGAGTCTGCAAGCAGTAGGCAAACTCTCTGCCACGTTAATCCTGTCATAGATCCTGCTCTGCAAGACAAGTCGCTGTGAGTAAAACAGTACATAGGACTCGCTACACTTCAGCTCTGCTTGGCGGGGCCATGAGGGAGCACCTCTGCTCCCCGCGCTAGGGCTCACGGCAGGCAGTAAAGGGCCGCAGGTTTCCCGCCCAACGCCCAGCTGTGAGGGAGCGCACGCGCGCTGCTGAGCCTGGGGGAGGAGCTTGTATCGGCCGAAGTCCTCCGGGAGCCGTGCGCAAAGCGAGGCGCGGTGGCCGTTCTAGGCAGCGGTTGGCCGCCATATCCGTCTCTATGGTAGCGGGGGAGGAGCGGCCCCGCCCAGCTCTCTGGAGCCGTTGCGAGAAGGAAATGGCGGCGCGGCGCGGCTGAGACCTTCGGTGGCGGAGACGAGATCCCGCACCCACTCCCCACGGTGAGTGAGGGAGGCAGGGGGAGAAGTACCGGCGAGAGGAGGAGAACGGGAGCCGGGCCGCCGCCGAGGCGGAGGGGTGACGGAAAAGGGACAGCCGCCACCTCAGGCCTCGGGGCTCGACGAGAAAATGGAGGCGGGCGGGCGGTGCGGTGTGGGCCGGGCGGCCGCAGGGCTGCGGGCGGGGACGGGGACGGGGGGGAGGGGGCGGCGCGGCCCGTTTCCAGTGAACCGTCGGTACAGCTGCGGGGCGAGGGCACGTCGGAGGCCTGGCCCGCTTCCAGAGGAGGTCGGCGACACATTGCGGGGGCCCCGGAGGAAGCCCCGAGCCGCCGCCCCGTAAGCTCCTAACGTGGTTGGGCCGCGGCGGAGAGGACGGCCTCCGCGGGCGGAGCGGGCAGGAAGGCGGGCTCCTCCATCTTGGGGGAGAGACGAGCAGAGGACAGGCGTGCGATGAGCCGAGCGACGTCACGGTTCCAACTGACGGCGGCGAGATTCTCTGTGACGCTGCAACCGACATAAACCGCATTTTCGGACCCGTACGACGAATCCCGCTACCGGACGAGGGTTTCTCCGCCGCTGGTTCGTTAAGCGGCCGGGTGCGGGCGGAGCGCTGCTGCTCCGGATGCCCCCTGAGCGCAGCTGCTCCGGATGCCGCCTGAGCGCTGCCGGGGTTAGGGGTGGATCCTGGCACGAAGTTACGGGGTCTGGCACTGGGTGATACAGAAGGCTCCTCTGTGGTGAGTCCAAGGAGAAAAACGGAATTTTAAGATGTGCTGGTGTCTTGCAGAGGAAGGTGAAGGGGTTGCATCGTTAGGTAGTTAATGCCAATATTGTATTGAATGCTTATACTAGTCAGCGTCTGGTAGTGTCTACCTTCCTCCCTCCCCACTGGTGTACTTCAATACTGTCCCTTGGAGGTAATGATGTTTTAGAGCTGTTTATGTGCCTTGCATGAAGCTGTGCTTTGAATATGACCAAACTCTGTTTCGTACAGTTATTCAAGCAGTAACTTCATGTTAGTGGGTGAATAAGATCCTATCATCTTAGCTTGTCATTTTTAACTTGGAAAGAACGCTTCAGTCTCTTGAATAAATTGAAAAATGTATATGGATTACACTCTTCTGTATATTCAGTACTTAAAAACAGTGTAATGTTCTTGTTTTGTTGCACTGGTTTTGTTTCCTTTTTTTCCTGGGAACTTCAGGATGGGGAAAAAATAATGATTCATTTAATGTGCAAAGTTGTGTGTAGCATTCTTAAGATTCTTTTTAAAAATTATTAGTAATTTAGACTCTAGGTAATCTTTTTGAGACTGCAAAAGTAGTTCTTTTCAGTGCTTAACCATCACAGCCTTGTTTAATTATATTCTTTGGCAGTTGATATTCAGCTGTCTTTTAATTTTATAGAAACTTTTCCACTTCTTACAACCATTTTATATAAGGCTTTTTGTTTGAAGTGGGAATGTCTAGAAGTATAGCTTCAGCTATGTCTTGTTGATACATTTGTGAATGAAATTTAGCAGCCATTTAAGCAGTTGGATTGCTGAATAATGAAAAACGTCGATATGTAGTTACTATACAAGTGTAGGATTTACTGTGTTAATTGTAATAGATAGTCGGGTTGTGCTTTGTGTTTTATGTTCATTCTTTGACATTTCAAGCTTTCTATAGGAGTAAATACAGAAGTATGCTCCAAATAGTTGCTGGGAGTTAGGCCTTCAAATGTTTTCCTTTATGGTTGCAGAAAGATATTGCACAAAACTTTGGTGGAAGAGTAGCGACTTGTGTTGGCCTTCAGCCTGCTTTGATTTGCACGAGTCCAGAGATTTGCAAATCAGATAACAGTTGAATTCAAGACTAGAGTTTCAATAGTTTTTACAAATGTTTTGGTTTGATTTATAGGGGATGTTTTAATTTCTGTTGATGTGCAGATGAACATTGTTTTCGTGCTGCAAATTTGTATACTTCGTATACAACAAAATATGGATTTAAAAAAAAATTGTAAGTTGATGCATACAATTCATATAATACCTTTTATGCTTTTTTAATTGTTCTTTGAATTTAAAAAACAAAACCAACAGGAAAATATGAACAAAAACCTCAAACTTTGAAAAGCAATGCTTACGAGCACAAAATAGCAAACAGCAAATAGCAGAGTATGTTTCCAGTGTATGATGGACTTGATGAAAGATGTTGTCTTAATTCTAAGATTTTTTCTGGGATTAGATTATATTATTTAATTTCAGTTTAAGATTCTGTCTTTTAGAGTTTTAACTGCATGCTTTTAGTCTGCACAACCTGAAACTTCAGCCAGAAATATTAAGTGGAGAGAGGAAGGGGAAGGATTACAAGGATTAGGCTGGAGGATTATGAAATGTAACTGATAGAAATGGAAGGAGACAGGACTCTACTAAGCAAGAGTAAGACTAGGTGGCTTCTTGTGGACAGAAGTGCCAATGTCTGTCTGTGTTAGTTTTACACTCAGCTTTTTCTGCCAAACGTCTCCTGTAGTACTTGAGCTAGCAGGACAGTGGCAGAAGTAAATTTTACCCCATTAATGCAGGCATTGCTCGCAGTCCTCCTCCTTAGGACCATTTTAGTTCCACTGTCAAGTACACTTTGAAGGTTGTATTACTATCATGATTTTATAATATAACTTCAGAAATAAGTTAATAAAATAATGAGTTTCAGTAGAGTTACTCTTAGAGGCGTTGATAGGCGTCAAGGTTAACTAGTATCTTAAAATTCCCACTAGGGAAGACACAAAAATTAAATGTGTATTTAGTGTGCTCTTGTGGTCAACCTTAATCGAAATTGGTATTTGAAGTGTTGACTGTGTAGTAACATAATCAGTATACTGTAATTAATGTACTTGACTGTATGCTGAAGGAAGATCTTGTGTTTTTTATGTTATATAATGGCACCTTTTTGATGGTGTGAGAGTGAAATTGATCACTGGTTTCAGATGTATTTTAGCACACTTTTTACTTCATATTAGAAAGGGAAAAAGGTGTAAAAACGAAGCATTTTTCTTCAACAGCTGGGCTGGTAGGATCAGAAATTGTAATCCTGCAGTTGCTCTGAGTCTATTTCTGTACACTTGGTTCTGCTGACAACTGTGATTAGACATGCCAGAGGATACAGATAGGTTAGTGTAAAACTAAGGGTTTTGCATGTGCTTTAGGAAGTATAATTAGTGTATTGTAGTAGCGCCAATTTGAGAAAAAGCTGGCACAGCTTTATGAATTAGTATAAAACTAGAGAAGGAGAAGAGGGGATTTTAAGTATAGTGTAAATAATAGTGTAAAAAAGCTGAAACTTGACAATGTTTAAAAATAAACAAGCAAGGGGATCTTGAAGAGTTACACTGTTTCCATTCACTTAACAGCCCAGTATTGGTAAGTCACAAGAAAGACCTGATTTCATTGGTACTTCAGTGGAGGAATTATCAGATGGTGTGAATCACTTTTCCAAAGCTCTTTGTTTCCTTTGTGGTTGCTGAAAATACATTTTTGTGGTGCTGAGGAGGTCAGGTTTTGTAGCAGAAGTTGAATGTCTAAAAAAAGTAGGTTGTATGTTTTTGTCAAATATTTCCATTCAAAGTGGTGGAAAAGGAATGGTAAAGATTATTGTGTAGTAAGTAATAAGCAGTGACAATCTAAGTTTGTAGTTGATATCTCTGTTTACTAAACATAACTGTGGCTTACAAAATTGGCTTCATGGTTTTGAAGCCATAAAGAGTCTTTTTTTTTTTCTTGGAATACAAGTTTTTGACCACAGGAAAGTGCTTTCCTCCCCCCCCACTTTCTATATAAAAGGGAAAAAAGAGCAGAACTGTGTGTGCTGCTTGGGATTGTGCTTACAGTGGTTCCAAATGTTCTGCTGGCTGTGTCATTTGTGCTTGTACTGCTCAGAACTTGAGAGGTAAACCTGATCAAAAACTTCACATTTATTTTTGTTGCTTTGGGTAAACTCTTGGTTTAGAGTCGAGTAGATGTGTAGCTTGCACAGAAGAGTGTGAAGAAAAGCTTTAGATGGTGTTACAGGAGTAGTAAGAAAGTTAAAAGTTTGGTAGTAAGCCATTAAAGTCTGCCTTGTGTGAAGCTGTGGGGTAGAAAATACCAGTCACAGCTCTATAATATTTTTTTCTTAGTTCCTGTATCCTTAAATTGGAAACACGGAAATATCAGCCTTGTTTATTGAAGTGATTATGGCTTGCACTTTGGAAGATGCGCGCAGTGTGTCAGAGTGCCTTGAGGTTTGGCTTTTATCAAAATTCTGTCAGTAGTGTTGGTTACAATTCTTTTCCCAGCTGTTAACAGCTGGCAGACATTCATGTACACAGATAACATTGGGCTCTGTTGATGTAGCTTTATTCATTCAGAGAATGTGTGAACTTGCTTCATCCTGAGATAAACCTCTTTACATAGGAGGGCCTGTACTGATGTGCTGGTAGAGCTTTCAGTCAATGTGCAGCTGCACTGATGGAGCTGTATTGCACTGAAATGGTGCATACCTGCCACCCCACCCTGTGAAAACAACATGCAGGTGAAAGTACAGTTGTAATGGTGCCATTACCTCTGTGTGAGGAACATACACCACTGCTCTGTTCATTAAGAACTTGCACCCCTTAATGTTTCTGACTGCGATTGTGCTGGTGAAAATAAATAGTACAGGTATTTTCATAGTTCTGCTAAGTAAAATTCCTGTTTAATATAAATAAATCCTTAAATAAGTCCTGTTTGCCAGGACTCTGGTGGACTTGCTGCTCAAGCACCTTGAAAGCTTCTGTGAGAAATGGGAGTTTAGCTGAATTTAGCTGTGAGAAGTTAACTTTGATTGAAAGAAGAGTATTTCTGCTACTTGTTCAGGAAAATAAACTTAACAATACTTGGTGCTGTGTTCATTCTGGGGCATTACAGAATGTTTCATCTTTTTTTTTTTTTTTTTGAGTGTAGTCCTATAGAAGTAGGATATCTCCAGTGTTTTTCATGGGAAGAT